CCAAGGTAATTCCTCTTTTTAAAAACGGTGAAAAACATTTGTTCAAAAATTACAGACCTATATCCTTGTTACCACAGTTTTCTAAAAATTTTACAGAAATTATTTGTCACCAGATTGGATCAATTTATCGAAAAGAACAATATCTTAAGTAGTAGTCAGTATGGGTTTAGAGCTAAAAATTCCACAACAATGGCTCTTATGGAATTTATGGAACAAATAACAACTGCTATCGATCAAAAACAGTATTGTGTTAGTATTTATGTAGATTTAAAGAAAGCATTGGACACAACTGATCACAGTATTCTTGAAAAATTAAGTAAATATGGTATTAGAGGCTCTGCACTACAATGGGTATCTAGTTATTTGAAAAATAGGAAACAGTTTGTACAGATAAATGGTGTAAAATCTAAACTTGGTAATATCACATGTGGAGTCCCTCAGGGCTCTGTACTGGGACCTAAGTTATTTATTTTATATGTAAATGACTTAGTAAATGTGTCAGGACTTTTCAAATATGTTTTCTTTGACAATACAACATTTTTTTGTTTAGGTAAAGATATAGAAAAAATGTTTGAGATGGCACAGAAAGAATTTGAGAAAATACAAAATTGGTTTCAACAAAACAAATTGTCATTAAATTTGGATAAAACAAATTATATGATATTTAGTAATAGGAAGCTGTTTATTTTTCATTTAAAGTAAGTGGTATTGAGATCTTTAAAGTCAGTGAGGTGAAATTTCTGGGTGTCGTCATTGATGACAAGCTGACATGGAGACCTCACATACATTATTTAAGAACAAAAATATCTAAATCTATTGGAGTACTGAATAAAGTCAGGGAGTTATTCAATGACAAAGCTCTGCTTGTGTTGTACAATTCGATAATTGTTCCACATTTAATTTACTGTATTGAAGTATGGGGTAAAGCTTGCAAAACAATTACAAATCCAATTTTTGTTTTGCAGAAAACAGCCATAAGAATTATTGCAAGAAAAGATTACAACCATCCATCAAATACATTATTTTGCAAACTGAAAATTTTGAAATTCTATGATTTGGTTGGCTATAATATTTTACTGTTTATGTACAAGGCTCACAGAAACATTAACTTCCAACATTCAAGTAAACTTTGTTAAGAAAGACAGTTGTTGTTATCTTAAGGGGATGGAAATGTGTGAAGCCATATTTTCGTACTTGCTTGAAAGAAAGATGTACTGTAATCCAGGATATAGGATTGTGGAACGGTCTGTAGGATGATATTAAAAATGCCAGATCTATGTATATGTTTAAAAGACAGATAAAAGCTAGTTTTTTTAAGGTACATGAAAAGTAAAATATGAAGCTATTTGAATTGTTGTTTGAGTTGATGTTTTTATGTTGTTGTTTTTATTTATTTTTTAATTTAGTATTGTTTTGTAAGTTATGTTTCATTTGAATATATTCTGAGGATAAAAGGGGCAGACATAATAAGATTTATTCTTCTGCTACCTTTCATTTTATTTAATTTTGATTTGTGTACTTTCATGGTTTATTTTTTGTTATTGTATATAGTTATTTTTTAATGAAATGAATAAATTTTATGAATTGAATTAATGTCATCGGAGCGTAACAGAGGTGAAATGAGATGTTCGTGAGTTACAACCGCCTCTGTTGTTTTTCATTTGTTTGTTTCTGCTTCTCTCTGGAGAATCTATGTTGTGCAAGCCAAGCTTTATTTTATCATTGCTATGTTAGCGGAGAGTCTCATGGAGAGAAAACATTGTGTGTTCTCACATCTCTTTCACTTTTACACCTGTGTGTGGACGGCAGCCAGGTTACTACACCTCCACCACCACTCTGAATCATCAACCCTCACCTGTCTGATAATAGAATCTGTTATTGCTGGGCTTTTTACTTCTGTATTTGAAGTTTAATATTAAGAAGTTGCAGGTAGCTGAAGGGAAATCATTACAGGAGATTAGTATTATTGATTCAAGTCAAACAACAAAAGAAGAAAATGTGGATTACRAATTTAATGTGCGTATTTTGCATGGGCTTTTCTCCAGTGTCTGAAAGATAATGTGTTATGGTTGATGGAGAAAAGTTTTCAACACAGTTTTAAAAGGCAGCAGTTGTAGGCAGTACTGTAAACAGGAACAGACTGGTTCATATCATGGTCTGCAGAAGGTTAGTGGTGACATGACAGGAGGTCAGACAGGCAGTAAAYCTGACTATCTTTGACACACGGCAGGAAAAACTAACAGACATTTCTCCTGCAAGTTAGCTACCACAGCTAATTAGCTTTAGCAAACACAACTATGGCTATAGGTATGTCAGTTTCACAGACACTGATCTAAAATTTAGTGTAGTAGTAGCTGAGAGTCATGCCCAATACATACTCGGAGCACTAACAGTTTGTCTGGGACCTTTGTACTAAACTTTGCCATGGAAGGCAACATGCAGCTACAATCAATTCTAGGCCTTTAATGAAATTTCTAGAATTAACTGACATGTGGCATGGAGTTTACATCAAGTGTTTACAGTCAGGTCTATAAAAACTGGGAYATCAGCACAATTTTATCTTTTTGGTTTTAAACACAACTATGGTGGATTTAAAGTGAAACTGCAGACTGAACTCTGTATGGATTACAGCAGTTTGTATGTGCCTCCCACTTTTTAATGGACCAAAAGTAATGGGACRATTGGCCACTTTCCACATCCAGGTGTGTGTTATTCCCTCATTATCCCATTTTCCAAGAGAGGATAAAAGGTCCAAAAAATACCTTTCCAGTTCTGAAACAACATCCTATAGAAGAGACAACGATCAACTTGTTATTAATAATAAGTGATTACAACTCAGCTCTCAGAGTTCTCAGTTTTAAAACCTTCTGGAGCTCTCTGTGTGACTCTAGCATGACTGGAAGGGT